TTGTTCTTCTTGCTGAATGCCAGCTTGCAAATCTGTTGAAGTTCACATTACACAAATAATTGCTACAGACAATGCCCAGGAGTCAGAGAAATCTCACTCTGAAACTCTGAAAACCTCCTTCTCTCTACCATCAGCAGGACCCTCAAGTATTAGTGGAAAAGATACTAAACTGAGAAGTATCAGAACAAATGTATCAGAAGTGGAGTTTGCTGGCAGCTCTTCAGTTGGGCTCAAGCCCAGTTGTAAATCCTCCATTCTCTAAGTGTGCTTCCTATTGGCTGCTCTAATGGATTATCTGACTCACATTTATTTACAAATGGTAAATAACTACATCTCATTCTAAATTGTTAAATGGCATGTTGATATGCGAGCAACATCAATTCAAACAGTTTGGAACAATTCAGAATTTAAAACAATACAAATTAAGAAGACAAAAATCCAAATAAATAAGTTAAAATGGTTTAAAAGGTTGAAACAGTTTGAAAATAAGTACTTTTTTCATTTCAGAAAATATCAATTGGCCCCAAAAGCTTTAATCAATAGCCGCATTTTAGCTTGGCACAGAAAAGACCAACATTGATGCCAATCATCCCTTTAAAAGAGGACATTCCACAAATGGAAAGTCATGGCAGAGAAAGCCCACTCTCGTGTGCTCCCACTACATATTGCTTCCATTGATGGAAGTTAGACCACTGTCCTCAAGTAGGGATATATAGGGAGAGGTACTCCAAGTGTTGGACTCAAGTCATTAGGACTGTGGATGTCATCCCTACCACCTGAATTCAGATAAGAAGTGTCTCACCAGTGAGCGCAATTCTTCGAAGACCGGTATTATATAGCTTCTACACAGTACTTCAACCAACAGTCTCATTTTTTCAGGATCTACAGCTTTCCAAACCATCTTCAAGGGCGGACACACGTAGAATGCGTTACTCTTGGGAATGGAAGAGGATTGTGCTCTGTCTATGACATCATGGGCAATTCCAGTGTTGCCATGGGCCGAGTTCCCTGTTTATGCTCCCTGTAAAGGTAATATGAAGACATCATCAGTATACAAAGTTGTGATTGGTAAGTTTTGTTAGAGCTGCCATGGGAACAGGTTCTGGGGCTTATATCTTCTAGGTTTTATTGACATATCGTAACTATGCAAAAGAATTTAAAACTGGTACAGATGTAGCATAGCAGTCATTGGCAAAGCACAACTGATGAACTATTCTGCTTTTCCTGCCTTATTGTTCATATCCTCACACAGAGAAATCTTTTTAGTTGTGATGTTTACATATATCTGAGAACTCTGTGGTCCTCCAGATGTTGCATCTTTTCCTATTGCTTTTCAATTTCCTTTGTGTTATTGTCCTTCCAAGAAGTCATATCACAGAGTTCAGATTTGTGTTGTTCTCTTATTCGTTGTCTTTTTGGCAATCCATAGTATAACCACATTTCAAATTAGCCGATTTTTCCCATCCTGGTATTGTATGCACTTAGTTGTGTTCTCAACAAAGCACAGAGTCACCTGCATCTTGAAGAAATGACTGAAGTAATCGATGTTCCTTATTATATAGATCAGTGGGTTCTTAACCGGTGGGCCTCAGACAAAAATCTGGTCTGTGAGCCTCCTTCCTCTTTATTTTATTTTATTCTGCTCCTTTTGCACCACCTGCCACTCATTCCCTGTTGCTGACCATGGCATATGTTCTGTATCAGAAACTAGAGCTGATGCAGTCTATCCAATTCAATTTTCTGAATCAGCACCACAAACTGAATCTAAAGTTGACCAAAAACTGATTCATAATCCTTTTGGTATGAATGTTGAAGAGTGAACCCTGGTCAAACTGGTCCCTGGTCAAGTAGTCCCTGGTCAAGTGGTCCCTGGCCAAAGTAGTCCATGGTCAAGTGGTCCCTGGTCAAACTGGTCCCTGGTCAAGTAGTTTCTGGCCAAGTGGCCCCTTGTCAAGAAAAAAAGGTTGGGAATCACTGATATAGATGAACAGGTATTAAAAAACAGTTGTATCTGATTTATGATCTCTTTTGAAAAGGATGGGACTAAACCTACAATCTCTTCTGTCATATTTTTCATTGGTTGCACAAGGAACTACTTGCTCACTCAACCAAGGACCATTCATGGTACACAGTGCTATTATTCTACTTTAATTGCCATGGTTTCATCCTATGGGATCAAAGGATTAATAGCTTGTTCTTACCTAAACATTTGATCTAGGAATCTATAAAATGGAGCCATGGCTCTTAAAAAGGAATTCCAGTGCTATTTCTGTACTATGAATGCAAGACTGCTGTAAGGAACAATCCTGTCACTGTTTTTTTTTTTTTTTTTGGTAAGCTACAGACATCCAACTCTTTTCCTGCTTATCAGGACTGCCTAGTTTGTTGTTTGTTTATATATAGGCCACTTTTCTTCAAGGCAGCTCCCAGAAACTGTAAATTAAATGCAGTTGGTCTTCCATATCCATGGGTTCTGCATCCACGGATCCCACCATCAACAGCTAGAAAAAAAATCCAAAAAGTAAACAATTCCCATGTGATATAAAGGATAGCACTGTGCTGTGCCAAGATATATAATGCAACTTCAGCATCCATGGATTTTGGTATCCAGAGTTTTTGGAAAATGGCATTCATAACTATTTGGAAATGATAACCTTTTAGAAAAGCATAACCTTTCAGAGAAGAGCCAAAAACCTGTTTGAATAGAATCTTCTCAAGTGATATGCAGCCAGATGTAATTATGCAAGGCAATTTGGCTTTAGTTGTTAGACTGATAACCTGTTGTCTCTGATCTGTTAGGAAACAGAGAATATGCCTCTGCACAAAATAGCAGTGCTTCAGAAGTGTTTTCTCAGTGCCCTAAAATATCTCTACTCTCCCATAAAAAACTTGTTCTATATTATGCATTCAAGAGACAAAATAAATGACATATTTGGTTTACTCATGACCTTCATGTGTTCAGCATACATAGGTACACGACTTATCAGCTGCAGATACGTTTTTGTATGCAGATGGCACAGGACATCTCTCTTACAGCAATAGCAGGCATGTGTTTGAGCAGTCTCAATGTCCAATGGAGTCTGAGTTCTGAGCAGTCTCAGAGTCTAATCATGTGGTCTCTAACCCCTTCCACAACTTCTCAGGAAACATAGAGCAAGGAAAGAAAGCTGCATATCAGAACAGGTATACAATAAGTAAGCAACAAGATTATAAACAAACAAATGACTAGAGGAGGCTTGAAGAACGTTGTAATTTCCACAAAAGTGGATTCCAAGGGCACATTGTACATTAAAATTGAACAAAAACAATTAAAATCACAAACATAAAACATTTAAAAATTAGTTAAAAGCATACAAAAAGCTTCATGATTGTCAGAGCTGTTGGACAGTGGAATATGCTGCTAGTGAACAATAGTGGACTGGATGGCCCTTAGAGTGTCTTCCAACTCTAGGGAGACCTGCACCATTGTCTCGCTGGATGTCCGAGGAGCCAAATGAGTGACCTCCATTGCTGACTGGCTGAATGTGGACTTTGCCAACATCCACAAGGAGGAGAAGAAGGCGAACGAGGTGGATCGCATGGTGCTGGTGGGGGACGTGAAGGACTGGGTGGTCATCGTGGTAGATGACATGGCGGATACTTGCGGCACCATCTGTCATGCGGCAGACAAGCTGGTCTCCACAGGTGCCACCAAAGCGTATGCCATCCTGATGCATGGGATCTTCTCAGGACCTGACATCTCCCGCATCAACAGCCCCTGCTTTGAGGCCATGGTCATCACGAAGACCATCCCTCAAGAGGACAAGATGAAGCACTGCCCAAAAATCCAGGTAGGGTGTCCTTGAAAAGCAGAAGGAGAAAGGCCCAGAAAGGGCTGGGTCTGATGCTTGGGAAAAAGTTGGATGTCCTGTGACAGCAACCACTGAGTTTCACAAGCAGATTGACAGATTGATTCAGGACAATCGTCGTATTACTCAGAGAGAAATTTCAAGCATAATCAGCATTTCGCTAGAACGTGTGAGTCACATTATTGCTTTGCTTGGCTATTGGAAGATCTGTGCACAATGGGTTGTGGAAACAGTGTTGACTTCTTCCGTGACAGCTTCAGAAATCTTGTTCACCGTTGGCAGAAATGTATCCAATTGTCTGGTGATTATGTTGAAAAGTGAATAGTGGTGGTTAAAGAGCACATTCTAAGGATTATTTCCGCGTTTGATTTATTAAAATATTCCCATCCAAACCCAAGTAATGAAGATGGAGGCATTACTTTTCATTCAACCCTCATAGAGCCTGCTTTGAGTTCCCAGGGGGAGAAAAGGAGCCCCCGGTGGCGCAGTGGGTTAAACCACTGAGCTGCTAAGCTTGTTGACCAAAAGGTCGCAGGTTTTAATCCAGGGAGTAGCGTGAGCTTCCACTGCCAGCCCCAGCTTCTGCCAACCTAGCAGTTTGAAAACATGCAAATATGAGTAGATCAGTAGGTACTGCTCTGGTGGGAAGATGACGGCGCTCCATGCAGTCATGCTGGCCACACGACCTTGGAGGTGTCTATGGACAATGCCGGCTCTTCAGCTTAGAAATGGGGATGAGCACCACACTCCAGAGTCGGACACGACTTACTGTCAGGGGAAAACCTTTACCTTACCTTAGGGGGAGAAAAGCGGCATATCAATGTAGCAAAATAAATAAATGCAGCAAATAAATGTAGTAAATAAAAATAAATGTAGTAACTAAAAATAAATAAATGTAAAATGTAGTAAAATAAATAAATAATAAATATAATTCTGTGCAAAGTTTTTTTTAAAAAAAAATAAAAATCAACGAAGCATCCCTAATAATCCCTAATAATCCCTAATAATGACATGGTTGGTACTTTGGAAGAGGACACCTAGGGCTGGGCTGGGGACAGGTTTGGTTATCTCTTCCTGGATTGGCTGCCTCCTGCGTCAGTCATAGGCAGGAGGGCTGTCCCAGCACCGCTGAGACTCTCCTCGCGCTGGGCGCTGCCTGCAGCTTGGCTGCAAAGCCTGAGAAGCAGCAGCAGCAGCAGCAGCAGAAGAGTCGGAGGACTGGGGAAAGGGAGGCAGCAGCAGCAGCAACAGCAACAGGAGTCATCCCAAGATCAAAAAGCGGGCTTTGGGCTGCTTTTGGGGTGAGGAGAAAGAAGCCCCGGGCGGTTGCATACGGGACTGTTGGAATTAACGCACTTTGACTGCCAGGGCTCAATGCAATGGGATGCTAGGAGTTTGACAATGTCTTACGCCTCCTCCTCCTCAAACACAACTTTCAGGAATGTCATAGGACTGAGTCAAAACAGTTCAAGTGGTGTCAACCTGCATTGGTGCTACAGCAGGTATGGGCAAACTTGGGCCCTCCAGGTGTTTTGGACTTCAACTCCCACCATTCCTAACAGCCTCAGGCCCCTTCCTTTTCCCCTCAGCCGCTTAAGCAGCTGAGGGGGAAAAGGAAAGGGCCTGAGGCTGTTAGGAATGGTGGGAGTTGAAGTCCAAAACACCTGGAGGACCCAAGTTTGCCCATGCCTGGTCTACAGTGTAGATCATGCATGGGCAAACTTTCTAACTTGGGGGCCGCAGGACTGGCTGCCCAGTGATGGAGGGATGGAAGGGAAGGAAGGAAGGAAGGAAAGAGAGGAGGAGAAGGAAAAAGGAAGGAAAGGAATGGAAGAAGAAAGAGAGAGAGGGAAGAGGTAGGAAAGAGGGAAGGAAAGAAAGAGACAAGGAAGGATGGAAGCTGAAAGGAGGAAGGAAGAGAAGGAGAAAGAAAGGAAGGGAAGGAAGGAGAAAAAGGAAAAGGGAAGGGAGGAAGAAGAAAGAGGGAGAGGAAGGAAGGAAGGACAAAAGGGTGGAAGGAAGGGGAAGGGAGAAAGAGGGAGGGAAGGGAAGAGAGGAAGGAAAGAGGAAGGAAGAAAGACAAGAGGGAAGGAAGGAAGGAGAAAGGGTGGAAGGGAAAAGGGAAGGAGAAAAAAGGAAGGAAGGGAAAGGAAGGGGGAAGGAAGAGGAGGGGAGAAAAGAGGGAGGAAGGAATGAAGGAAGGAGGAGGGAAGAGAGAAGGAAGGAAAGAAAGAGGGAAGGAAGGAAGGGAGGAAGAGGAAAGGAAGGAAGGAAAGAGGGAAGGAAGGAGAGAAGGAGAAAAAGGGAGGGAAGGGAAGAGAAGGAAGAGGAAGAAGGAAAGAAAGACAAGAGGAAGGAGGAAGGAAAGAAAGAGGGAAAGGAGAAAGGAAGGTGAAAGGGTGGAAGGGAATGGAGAGAGGGCGAAAGAGGGAGGAAGGAAGAGAGAAGGAAGGAAAGACAAAAGAATGGAAGGAGGAGAAAGAGTGGAAGGGAAGGATGGAAGGAGAAAGAGGGAAGGAAGGAAGGAAGGGTGGAAGGGAATGGAGGGAGAAAGAGAGAGAGACGGAAGGAAGGAGAAAGAGGGAGAGAGGGAAGTAAGGAAGGATGAAAGGGTGGAAGGGAAGGAAGGAAGGCAAGAGAAAGACTGAGGGAAGGAGGAAAGAAAGAAAGAAAGAAAGAAAGAAAGGATAGTGAGAGACAGGAGGGCCTGAGAAAAGAACTCAAAGGGCTGCATCCAGGCCCCCAGACACACTAGGTCTCTTTCCTGACCACTTGCTCTGCGTCTTTCCTCCCAGGCGATGGGTGGGCTCTGCTTGGTGTATCTCCTGCTGCCTTTGGCCTCTGCGCTGGACTTTGGCTACCACCACACCGAGGAGATGGAAGCCTTCTTGAAAGGTGTGAGCAAGAACCACTCTTCCATCACTCACTTATACAGCATTGGCCGGTCGGTGCAAGGTAAGGCTGGTGTGCATGGGTCCTCTTCTTTTCCTCTTGCTTTCTCTCCCTGCTATGCATTTGGGAACTTTTTCATGCCTCTAAGAAGAGAGAGAACAATGGAAGGAAATGTGATAAGGATCGTGATTCCTCCTTTCAGTGGAAATTTGGTATCCACTGGGGTTTGGTTCCAAGGCTCCCCCTGGACACCAAAATCCATGGATGCTCAAGTACCATTACACTATGTAACACATTTTTTGAAAAAAAATCTGTTCCTGGTTTGAAAGTGTTATTTTCTGTTTAATTGTGTGGTACACTTTGAAAGGTAACAGCTCTCTGTGCAGTTATGCTGGCCACGTGACCTTGGAGGTGTCTGTGGACAATGCTGGCTCTTCGGCTTAGAAATGGAGATGAGCACTACCCCGCAGAGTTGAACACAACTGGACTTAATGTCAGGGAGAAACCTTTACCTTTATCTTACTTTTTGAAAGTAGTTGTTATACTCCAGAAACTTTGTTTTTATGGTTGCCACAAACTATGTTGAAGTGCTTGAGACTCTATGACATATTAATTTAAAAACTATAGCAAAGTGTGCTGCCGGGTGTCCCACAAAACCAAAGTTTTTGCAGTTTAATAAACTTTCCCCATGTTTTTATAATAGAATCAATTAGGAAATGACATTTATAGCCCAGGAACAAAAATCGTGTTACATAGTAAATTAGTGTTCCTCGTATGAAATGGCAAAAATCAAGGGTTGTCTTTTGGAATTTTTCAGTATAAATATATTTAGGGTTTGTTGTGAATTTTCCAAGCTGTGTGTCCATGTTCCAGAAGCACTCTCTCCTGACATTTCACCCACATCTATGGTGGGCATCCTCAGAGGTTGCCTGTCATTGATGTGGGCAAAACGTCAGGAGAGAATGCTTCTGGAGCATAAAACCATACAGCCTGGGAAACTCACAGCAACCCAGTGATTCTAGCCATTAAAGCCTTCAACAACACATATATGTAGTTTCAACCTATGAGTATAGAATCTGTGGATCTGGAAGACAAACTACAGCTGCTTTGTATTTGCTGTTTCTGGAAGCTGCCTTGGGTCCCATATAAACATACTATATGTGTATATATGTATATATGTGTGTGTGTGCGTGTATGTATATATGTGTGTGATTTTATCCCTTTGCCAGACCCAGTGTTTTAGGTTTTTTTTAAAAAAACTCAGAAACATTGTGTAGATTTGATTATGATAGTGCCGGAGCTCCTTGTGGCGCAGTGGGTTAAACTGAAAGGCCAGCAGTTCAGATCGGGGGAACAGGGGGAGCTCCCGCTGTTAGGCCCAGCTTCTGCCCACCTAGCAGTTCAAAACATGCAGATGGTTACCTCTTTGGCAGGAAGATAATGGCGCTCCATGCAGTCATTCCGGCCACATGACCTTTGAGGAGGTGTCTACGGATAATGCCAGCTCTTCAGCATAGAAATTAAGATGAGCACCACCACCCAGAGTCTGACATGACTGGACTTAATGTCAGGGGAAAATCTTTACTTTATTATGATAGTGCCATATTGTTCTTAAGTACCCTTTGGTGGGATGAAGTGTCACCTAAACCAGTTGGGATTCCCATTCAGAGTAAGTTAGGTGTTCCTAAATTGGGGAACTGGGGGAGCAGATCTGCTATATTTAACAGGACCTGTCCCAGTCCCAGGATTGTGAGTATATACATTCACCTGCTGATCTGTGGCAACCCCATGAATTCCAAAAGGTTTTCTTAGGCAAGGAATACCCAAAAGGTGGTTTTGCCAATTCCTTCCTCTGATATAGACAAAGGCATCTGATATTCATTGGTGGCCTCCCATCCAAATACTAACCAAATTACTAACCTGCTTAGCTTCCAAGATCAGATGGGATCTGGTGCCTTTAGGCTATTTAGGCTTGTTGCTGCAGTGAATGGGATATAAAATAAGGGCATTCTCCTCCAAATTTATTTATTTATTTACCATACTAGCTGTACCCGCCACGCGTTGCTGTGGCAAACCTTCCCTCCCTCTTTCTCCTCCTTCTTTCTTTCTCTCCTTCCTTCCCTCCCTCTTTCCTTCTTTCCCTCTTTTTCTTTCTCTTTTTCTTTCTTGCTTCTCTACCTGTWTATTTTCTTGCTTCCTTTGCTGTTTGGTTTCATCCTTCCTTGTCTCTTTCCTTCCTTCCATCCCTCTTTCTCTCTTTCGTTCCTTCTCTCCTTCTTTCCTTCTTTCACTTTTTTATTTCCTTCTCTCCTTTCTTCCTTCTCTACCTTTCTTTCTTTCCTTCTCTCCTTCCCTCCTTCTTTCCCTCCTCCTCTCTTTCCTTCCTTTTCTATCTTCCTTTCTTTCCTTCTTTCTCTCCTTCCCTCCTTCTTTCCCTATTTCTTTCCCTCCTCTCCCCTTCCTTCCTTCTCTACCCTTCTTTCTTTCCTTCCCTCCCTCCTTCTTTCCCTATTTCTTTCCCTTTCTCTCCCTCCTTCTCGCTTTCTTTTCTTTTCTTTCTTTCTTTCTTTCTTTCTTTCTTTCTTTCTTTCTTTCTTTCGCTCTCTCCTTCCCTCCTTCTTTCCCTCTTTCTCTCCATCCTCTCCCCTTCCTTCCTTTTCTACCCTTCTTTCTTTCCTTCTCACCTTCTTTCCCTCTTTATTTCCCTCTTTCTCTCCCTCCTTCTCTCTTTCCTTCTTTCTCTACCATTCTTTCTTTCCTTCCTTCTCTCCTTCCCCCCTTCTTTCCCTCCTTCCTTCCCCCTTTCTGTGTATGTGTTTTGTGTGTATATATGCATATGCATGTGTGTATATATGTGTGTTTGTGTGTATATATATGCGTTGTAATTTTTGGGTGGTTTTTTTTTTTGCTTTTTAAGTCCCTTCTGCTATGTTTTTCTGTGTTTTATGAGTGATGGTCACTCATTGGCCTGATAGGCGTATAGTTTCCAAATTTGGTGTCAATTCATCCAGTGGTTTTTGAGTTATGCTAATCCCACAAACAAACATTACATTTTTATTTATATAGATTTATATACTGCCTTTCTCAGCCTGGAGGCGACTCAAGGAGGTTTACAATCAAATAGTAACTCTGCTCCTGAAATGGAAGTTTTCCTCACTTTCCAGATTTCTAGCATTACAGTAAACAAAGGGGCAAGCAAAGTGACAAAGGGGATGCAAACACAACAAATATCAAGATTCTAGAGTGTCTCACTCTTGGCGAGAAATGTGAGGAAAATTTCATGGGGAGCAAAATTCTTATTTGGAGGGGGTCTATCTTCAGTACTCCCCCAGCTACACCTCTTATTATGCCATGTGTTTAGGACTGAGATAATACAATCTCAAATAACCAAACCAGAACTTGGATATGTTACTTTTCAGCCACTATCTAAGAGATTCTCTGGGTTTTAGCCCAAAAGGTAAACTTTCCAAGCACTGATCTAAACAAGGCAGGCGAACACACAAACATTTCGAGGCATTTTGGTAATTTACGAGATAGTTGCAGAACTCTGAGAAATCACAGCATTAACTTGTTTTAGCATAAAAAGAAGGAACCGTGGTGGCGCAATAGGTTAAACTCTAGTTAAACCCTGAACTGCTGACCTGAAGGTCGGGGTTCAAATCCGCAAGACAGGGTTTTGTTTTTTTTTGTCATGTCAGGAGCGACCTGAGAAACTGCAAGTCGCTTCTGGTGTGAGAGAATTGGCCGTCTGCAAGGACGTTGCCCAGGGGATGCCTGGATTATTTTTTTATGTTTTATCATCCTTGTGGGAGGCTTCTCTCATGTCCCCACATGAGAAGCTGGAACTGATAGAGGGAGCTCATCTGCCTCTCCCCGGATTCGAACCTGCGACCTGTCGGTCTTCAGTCCTGCCGGCACACGGGTATAACCCATGGCGCCACCGGAGGCGCAAGACAGGGTGAGCTTCCATATGTCAACTCCAGCTTCCCATGCAGGGACAAGAGAGAAGCGTCCCACAGGATGGTAAAACATCTGGGTGTCCTTGCAGATGGCTGGTTTTCTCGCACCAGAAGCGAATTGCAGTTTCTCAAGTCGCTTCTGACACGGAAAAAAAAAACATAAAAAGAAAAATCTTTAGCACCTTTGATATAAATTGGGAAGAAGGCATCTATAATATGTGCTTTCCTGGATAGCTTACTTCACCAGATGCCAAGTTGTTGGCTATTCATTCCTTTAACATCTAACTGGAACTATAATCGTGTTACTAACAGTATGTGGGCAATACTCCGGTGATATTTCACAAAGACAAAAGTTTCTTTATTGATATCTCCCTAAGATAAAGCTGACCTTTTGCATTATTTGTTTTGTTTTGTTTTCTCATTAATGAACAAAACTGGTTCTCCTTTGTTTAGAGGAATCCAAATATCTTTCCCAGCAGTTAATCCAGGGGAGAAATGACATGTTCTAAATTCTTAGAAAAGTCAGAGTCAACTTGATGGCAGTTAGTAATAAAGTTTTTTGTTTGTTTCCAACTATTCCATTGAAGTGTTTGTTCATTAATCCAGTGGTTTTAAAGACAAAATAAGAAAAACACTTAGAATCATAGAGTTGGAAGAGACCTTGTGGGTCATCCAGTCCAATCCCTTGCCAAGAAGCAAGAAAATCACATTCAAAGCTCTCTTGACAGATGGCCATCCAGCCTCTGTTTAAAAGCCTCCAAAGAAGGAGCCTCCACCACATTCAGGGATAGAGGGTTTCACTGCTGAACAGCTCTCACAGTTAGGAAGTTGCCTCCACCACACTCTGGGACAGAGAGTTCCATTGCTGAACAGCTCTCGCAGTTAGGAAGTTCTTCCTCATGTCCAATCTCCTTTCCTGTAGTTGGAAGCCATTGTTCCATTGTGTCCTAGTCTCCAGGGCAGCAGAAAACAAGCTTGCTTCCTCCTCCTATGACTTCCCCTCACATATTTATACATTCCCATCATGTTTCCTCTCAGCCTTCTCCTCTGCAGGCTAAACATGCCCAGCTCTTTAAGTTGCTCTTCATAGGGCTTGTTCTCCAG